CCCCCGTCCCCCACCTTCCTGCTGTGTGGCGCCGCCGGTTATCAATTTCTCTGAGCTTGGTTTTCTCATCTGCAAAATAGGCACAAAAACACCCGGCCATGGCGAGAGGCCGCTCCTCCAGCCCTGAAGGGCGGCAGCCCACGCCCCTTACTGCCGGGGACACCTCAGGGCCCCAAGTGACCTGGGACGGGCACTTCCCTTCGAAGGCCGTGACCTCCACCCTTTCTCTGCCTCTGCTGTTGCGATCACCATTTCGCAGATGGAGAAGCTGGGCACACAGAGGCCAGAGCCACTCGCCAGAGCTCCCAGCTAGCTGGCAATGGCTTCAGACTCAAGTCTGTCTCTGAATCTTAACCATGACTTTCTGATGTGTATCCAACCTGGGGGTGGGAGGGCTAATGGGAAGGGGCAGGACTGAGGGGGAAGCCACGAGCCTGCAGGTAGGGTCAGAGCTGCTGTCTGGAACCAGGCCTCACTGAGCCACTGGGCCCTGGTGTTAAGGGCAGCTCCGGGCTGAGCAGACCAGCTGTCCCGTCCTGGGGAAGGACAGACTGGGCCCTGAGAGGGGAGTGGGCATGGTGACTCGAGGATGCTGCAAGGAGGCCTCCTCAGCTCCCTGCAGTACTTACTGGTACAGACATTGCCCTCCAGCCAATAACCCGGCACCCCCGCAGCCCAGCTCCTTGGGGAGGGGTCAGATGCTGGTCCTGGGTTCCAGAGTCACAGGGTGGGCACTGAAAGGGGTAGTGCTGAGTTGACAGAGTGATGGCTGGAGGCTGTGGCCTCTTCCAACCATCATCCCCTGGTCTGGCCTGGTCAGGACCTTCCTTGTTTCTAGAAGGGTTGGATTTGACCCCTGGGTCCTGCCTCAAGTGAAGGGCAGGATACTCTGTGCAAGGGGCACACACACACACACACTCAGTGACACGCTCACACCTGCAGCTGCCCCCCAGCTGGGCCCCTGACACTCCACAGTCAGGCACATCCCCTCTCTAGCCTTGGGGTGCCTGCCCCAGCCACCCATGGGCTGAGGGCCCCCACTGCATCCGGCACCGGGAAGTACCCTCCTGTCCCCGCACCTGCAGCTCAGCACTGACTGCAGGTCCAGCTCAGACCCCTTTGCCCGCAGTCAAGGCCCATCGTGACCAGACTCAGCCCCTCTTTTTGGAAGATTTCACGGTACCGCGGGCGAGATCCCTTTGCCCTGCTCTTCTCTGTGCCTTGCTCAAGCTGTTCCCTCTGCCTGTCACACCCCCACCCCCGTGTCCCAACACCAACGCCTGACCTGTCAAATGGCTCCCCTTGGCTACCCTGGGCCTCCCTTGTTTTGAAAACTAGAGCCTGGCCCCTCCCTGGCCTCCTTCACTCATGGCCCCCTCCCCCCAATACCATGACACAGACTCCTGTCCTCTGCACCTCCCAAATCCTGTCCAAGGCCAGCCTCCCGTCCACCTCAGAGGCTACAGCTCCGCGCCAGTCTGCCTTCACTCTCCTGGGAACTCGGTACCCCTCCCTGCACCCACTCTAGTCCCCACAGTCCTGAGTGAGCTTCTCAGAGCCCGTCTCCTCTCTCTCTGCCCTAGAAACTTCCAAAGCTTCCAGCTGCCTCTGGGACAAGGGCCACAGTCCTGGGCCACACTCATCCTCTCTCAGGCTCCCAGGTCCGTAACCCGGGACCTCATCCCCACAGTCCTGGCCCGTCCAACAGTCACTCTGCACCTAGTCAGCCATCCCGGTCCCCAGGCATCGCTCCCAGGGAGCCTTCCTATAACCCCTGCAGAGGTCAGGTCTGGGACCAGCCTTCCCAGCGCCCTGCGCGGTCCCCTCCCAGCCCGATGCCCTTGTCATTGTTTACTGCATTATTCATAATGGTCTGTGCAGCCTCTGCCTCCCCTGCAGGACTGTGAGCCCCATGTGGGCCGCTGTCTTGTTTGTCACTGTGTCCCCAGCACCCTCCCTTAGGCCCCTCCCCGGGTTTGCATTTTAGCCTGGCTCCACCCTAAGGCAGGGGAAAGGGGGCCCTAGGTCCCCTCTGCCCTCCCCTCCAGGACCCCATCCCCACGGAGGCCTGCCTTGCTCCCCGCAGTGGTCCCCGCACAGGCAAGGACACGTCTGTGTGCTGCCTGTCAGCTGGACAGCACCCTAGGACGGGGCTGTGGCTGCCCTGTGCCCCCCACCCCACCCCCCTCTTCAAGCCCCAGTGCCTTGCAGAGCCCTGGGCTGGTGGTGCCCAGCAGGGCACAGTTCTCAGCCCAGGCACAGGAAGGCCTGGTGGGCAGCCTGAGGTGGGTCCAGCAGGAGGGCTTCACAGAGGGGTGCAGGGAGGGGCTGAGGAGGGTGGCAGTCGCCTTCCAGAGAGCCCGGCCAGCTGCCTTCCCAACGCCAACTGCCCTGCCTCTCCTTCCCCTCCCCTCCACTGA